ATTAGGTGTGTCAGGTGTATGTATACTCTGTGGATGGGAGGTTACATTATATAGACGTGTGTCACGGTGTGTGACGGTGTGTCCGGGTGTGCAATGGTGTGTCACGGTGTGTCACCATATATGTATATTCTGTGGAGGGGAGGGTACATCATGAAGACATGTGTCACGGTGTGTCAGGTGTATGTATACTCTGTGGAGGGGAGGGTACATCATGTAGATGTGTGTCACGGTGTGTCCGGGTGTGTCAGTTGTATGTATTCTCTGTGGTGAGGAGGTTACATCATGTAGACTTGTGTCACTGTGTGTCACGGTGTGTCAGGTGTATGTTTACTCTGTGGAGGGGAGGGTACATCATGAAGACATGTGTCACGGTGTGTCAGGTGTATGTATACTCTGTGGAGGGGAGGGTATATCATGTATACATGTGTCACTGTGTGTCAGATATATGTATACTCTGTGGTGGGAGGGTTCATCATATAGACGGGTGTCACAGTGTGTCGTGTGTATGTGAGGGTGTGTCATGTAGTGTGTGTATGTCTCGGTGTGTGTATATCTGTGGAGGGGAGGGTACATCTGTCTCGTGTGTCACGGTGTGTCACGGTGTGTCAGGTGTATGTATACTCTGTGGAGGGAAGGGTATATCATGTAGACGTGTGTCACGGTGTGTCACGGTGTTTCAGGTGTATGTTTACTCTGAGGAGGGGAGAGTACATCATAAAGACATGTGTCACGGTGTGTCACGGTGTGTCAGGTGTATGTAGACTCTGTGGAGGGGATTGTATATCATGTATACCTGTGTCACGGTGTGTCAGGTGTATGTATACTCTGTGGATGGGAGGTTATATTATATAGACGTGTGTCATGGAGTGACACTGTGTGTCACGGTTTATCAGGTGTATGTATACTCTGTGGAGGGGAGGGTATATCATGTAGACGTGTGTCACGGTGTGTCACTGTGTGTCACGGTGTGTCGCGGTGTGTCAGGTGTGTGTTTACTCTGTGGAAGGGAGAGTACATCTTATAGACGTGTGTCACGGTGTGTCAGGTGTATGTATACTCTGTGGAGGGGAGAGTATATCATGTAGACGTGTGTCACGGTGTGACATGTATATGTATACTCTGTGGAGATGAGACTACATCATGTAGATGTGTCTCACTGTTTCTCAGGTGTGTCAGGTGTATGTATACTCTGTAGAGGGGAGAGTATATCATGTAGACGTGTGTCACGGTGTGTCACGGTGTGTCCGGGTGTATCAGGTGTATGTATACTCTGTGGAGGGGAGGGTATATCATGTAGACGTGTGTCACGGGTGTGTCAAGTGTATGTATACTCTGTGGAGGGGAAGGTACATCATCTAGATGTGTGTCACGGTGTGTCCGGGTGTGTCAGTTGTATGTATACTCACTCTGTGTACACTGTGTGTCACGGTGTGTCAGGTGTATGTATACTCTGTGGAGGGGAGGGTATATCATGTAGACGTGTGTCACGGTGTGTCGCGGTGTGTCAGGTGTATGTATACTCTGTGGAGGGAAGGGTATATCATGTAGACGTGTGTCACGATGTGTCACGGTGTATGTATATTCTGTGGAAGGGAGGGTACATCATGTGACGTGTCTCACGGTGTGTCAGGTGTGTCTAGGTGTGTCAGGTGTATGTATACTCTGTGGAGGGAAGGTTATATTATGTAGACTTGTGTCACTGTGTGTCACGGTGTGGTTAATTCTCTGTGCTAATTTTCTGTGCTAATTCTCTGTGTTAATTGTTTTAATTCTCTGTGCTAATTCTCTGTGTTAATTTTCTGTGTTGTGTTAATTCTCTGTGTTAAATGTGTTAATTATCTGGCTTAAATGTGTTAATTCTCTGTGTTAATTTTCTGTGTTAAATGCGCTAATTCTCTGTGCTAATTGTGTTAATTCTCTATGGTAATTCTCTGTGCTAATTCTTTGTGTTAATTGTGTGAATTCTCTGTGCTAATTCTCTGTGTTAATTCTCTGTGTTAATTGTGTTAATTTTTTGTATTAATTGTCTTAATTCTCTGTGTTAATTCTCTGTGCTAATTGTGTTAATTCTCTGTGCTAATTATCTGTGTTAATTGTGTTAATTCTCTGTGCTAATTCTCTGTGGTAATTCTCTGTGTTAATTATCTGTGTTAATTGTGTTAATTCTTTGTATTAATTGTCTTAATTCTCTGTGTTAATTCTCTGTGCTAATTGTGTTAATTCTCTGTGCTAATTATCTGTGTTAATTGTGTTAATTCTCTGTGCTAATTCTCTGTGGTAATTCTCTGTGCTAATTCTCTGTGCTAATTGTGTTAATTCTCTGTGCTAATTCTCTGTGGTAATTCTCTGTGCTAATTCTCTGTGGTAATTGTGTTAATTCTCTGTGCTAATTCTCTGTGGTAATTCTCTATGCTAATTGTGCTAATTCTCTGTGCTAATTGTGTTAATTCTCTGTGCTAATTCTCTGAGCTACTTGTGCTAATTCTCTGTGTTAATTCTCTGTGTTGTGTTAATTCTCTGTGCTAATTCTCTGTGTTAATTGTGTTAATTCTCTGTGCTAATTCTCTGTGGTAATTCTCTGTGGTAATTCTCTGTGGTAATTGTGGTAATTTTCTGTGTTAATTGTGTTAATTCTCTGTGTTAATTCTCTGTGGTAATTCTCTGTGTTAATTGTGTTAATTCTCTGTGTTAATTCTCTGTGGTAATTCTCAGTGTTAATTGTGGTAATTTTCTGTGTTAATTGTATTAATTCTCTTTGCTAATTCTCTGTGGTAATTCTCTGTGTTAATTGTGTTAATTCTCTGTGTTAATTGTGTTAATTCTCTGTGTTAATTGTGTTAATTCTCTGTGGTAATTCTCTGTGTTAATTGTGTTAATTCTCTATGCTAATTCTCTGTGTTAATTGTGTTAATTCTCTGTGCTTATTCTCTGCGTTGTGTTAATTCTCTGTGGTAATTCTCTGTGTTAATTCTCTGTGTTAATTGTGTTAATTCTCTGTGCTAATTCTCTGTGCTAATTCTCTGTGCTAATTGTGTTAATTCTCTGTGCTAATTCTCTGTGTTAATTGTGCTAATTCTCTGTGCTAATTGTGTTAATTCTCTGTGCTAATTCTCTGAGCTACTTGTGCTAATTCTCTGTGTTAATTCTCTGTGTTAATTGTGTTGATTCTCTGTGTTAATTCTCTGTGCTAATTCTCTGTGCTAATTGTGCTAATTCTTTGTGTTAATTGTGTGAATTCTCTGTGCTAATTCTCTGTGTTAATTCTCTGTGCTAATTGTGTTAATTCTCTGTGCTAATTCTCTGTGTTGTGTTAATTCTCTGTGTTAATTCTCTGTGCTAATTGTGTTAATTCTCTGTGCTAATTCTCTGCGTTGTGTTAATTCTCTGTGGTAATTCTCTGTGTTAATTCTCTGTGTTAATTGTGTTAATTCTCTGTGCTAATTCTCTGTGCTAATTGTGTTAATTCTCTGTGTTAATTGTGCTAATTCTCTGTGCTAATTGTGTTAATTCTCTGTGCTAATTCTCTGAGCTACTTGTGCTAATTCTCTGTGTTAATTCTCTGTGTTAATTGTGTTGATTCTCTGTGCTAATTCTCTGTGTTAATTGTGTTAATTCTCTGTGTTGTTTTAATTTTCTGTGCTAATTCTCTGTGTTAATTGTGGTAATTCTCTGTGCTAATTCTCTGTGTTAATTGTGTTAATTCTCTGTGTTAATTCTCTGTGTTAATTGTGGTAATTTTCTGTGTTAATTGTGTTAATTCTCTGTGTTAATTCTCTGTTTTAATTGTGTTAATTCTCTGTTTTAATTGTGTTAATTCTCTGTGTTAATTGTCTTAATTCTCTGTGCTAATTCTCTGTGTTAATTGTGTTAATTCTCTGTGCTAATTGTGCTAATTCTTTGTGTTAATTGTGTGAATTCTCTGTGCTAATTCTCTGTGCTAATTGTGTTAATTCTCTGTGCTATTTCTCTGTGTTAATTGTGTTAATTCTCTGTGCTAATTCTCTGTGTTAATTCTCTGTGCTAATTCTCTGTGTTAATTGTCTTAATTCTCTGTGTTAATTGTGTTAATTCTCTGTGCTAATTCTCTGTGTTGTGTTAATTCTCTGTGGTAGTTCTCTGTGTTAATTATCTGTGTTAATTGTGTTAATTCTCTGTGCTAATTCTCTGTGTTAATGGTGTTAATTCTCTGTGCTAATTCTCTGTGTTAATTGTGTTAATTCTCTGTGCTAATTCTCTGTGTTAATTGTCTTAATTCTCTGTGTTAATTCTCAGTGTTAATTGTGGTAATATTCTGTGTTAATTGTGTTAATTCTCTGTGCTAATTCTCTGTGTTAATTGTGTTAATTCTCTGTGGTAGTTCTCTGTGTTAATTGTGTTAATTCTCTGTGGTAATTCTCTGTGTTAATTGTGTTAATTCTCTGTGGTAGTTCTCTGTGTTAATTGTGTTAATTCTCTGTGCTAATTGTGTTAATTCTCTGTGGTAATTCTCTTTGTTAATTGTGTTAATTCCCTTTGTTAATCTGAATACTTGTCAATGATTTCAATCATTGCTCTGTAAATATATAGGGAACGCACATGTGCAATGTGTAATGATTATAGCCAGCAAGTTTTATTGGAATCAATTCAGTAATTTAGGAGGAATAGCCAGTACATCGTCACGTCTACAGACGGATGGACAGACAACCTCATTCCTCTCCTAGCTTCGTTATGGTGTTATAAAAACATCAATACATCCACTTATTATCATTTCGTGAATTGACAAATAAGAACCAAAAATAAAACGAGTGTTTTAGCTTTCTTCCCCGTTCGAGCACTGGCTATGTTTGTCTACATAATGAGAGTAGCCATCGACCAGGACATAAATCAACATGTGAAGTTACCTATAAATAATGTACACCAAACCCATCGTGATGTCATCATCATTTATCTGTAACAATATCAAACATGCAAGCATGAGATTAAATATTGCGATATAAATGATAAATAGTTTGAGATGATGCTTTTTAAAATGTTTTTAATCTATATAGGACAAAGTTTATCGTCTCTCTATAGAATGACAGTCTGACTTTTATCAGTGTCGAACCCAATCTGTCGCCCATTTATTGATAAACAGAAACAGTCTTGAGTGTCGTTGTCCTAAATTTTTTTCATAGTTTATACCACTTCCAGAATCTAATTCTTTAATAACTGATAATGCATACACATGTTTTCAAAGTGGATGTCTCCATTATGCCACTATGCTTTTGAATGTCATTTGATGCTACATGGACCCTCAGTTAAGTCACCACAATCCCAAATAGTTGTCACATGTACCCTTAGTGACGTCATGATTTTTTTCCGTGACGTCATAGCTCTTCTCCTTCGAACTGTTTGTCACATAGACTCTCAGCGATGTTATCAAATATCTACTACGCAGTTGATGCCCAATGAAATCTTAATGACGTCACTTTTACTAACAATGACGTCACCAAGCCTCTCCTTCAGAGCTGATATCACACAGACTTGTGGTGGCGTGGAGGGAGTGTTGTTGTATGTGTTTGAAGAGGCTCGCTACCAGTGCCGTCCAACCTGTTTGGTGACTGGAAGAGAATTAATACCTAAGATTATTGATAGACATCGGAATCATTCTGTAAATTCGTTATCACTACTATTTATGGGCGATCATGAAAATGGATTTCAGACAAAGTGAGTTAAAGATTTCAATGACGTTTTAACAAGAATAAAAGCCAATTGTGTAGATATACTTTTACTTAGAAATTTATGATTTATGAATTGTAACTTTGACCTATGTACAATACCAGAACTAAATCAAGTAGTCACACACAGCTAGGCGACATCTTCTGGAGAGCAACGTATTTATACTCGTCTAAAACACCCAAAGTCATCTTTTAATATCTCTTAATCTAATTTTCTAAAAATAATCAATAAGAAACATGAAATATCGTAGTGTGGCAAACATCAACCACTGAATGATTATGAGATTTATACACCTGATACCGACTAACCTAACAAAGCTTAACCATTATTTCTATAACTTCTCTGGGTTCTGACTTACCTAACAAAGCTTAACCACTATTTCCAAACCTTCTCTGAATACCGACTAACCTAACAATACTTAACCACTATTTCTATAACTTCTCTGGGTTCTGACTTACCTAACAATGCAATGCTTAACCACTATTTCCAAACCTTCTCTGAATACCGACTAACCTACCAATACTTAACCACTATTTCTATAACTTCTCTGGGTTCTGATTTACCTAACAAAGCTTAACCACTATTTCCAAACCTTCTCTGAATACCGACTAACCTACCAATACTTAACCACTATTTCTATACCTATTCTGGATGCTGACTTACCTAACAATACTTAACCACTATTTCTATAACTTCTCTGGGTTCTGATTTACCTAACAAAGCTTAACCACTATTTCCAAACCTTCTCTGAATACCGACTAACCTAACAATACTTAACCACTATTTCTATAACTTCTCTGGGTTCTGACTTACCTAACAATGCTTAACCACTATTTCTATAACTTCTCTGGATGCTGACTTACCTAACAAAGCTTAACCACTATTTCTATAACTTCTCTGGATGCTGACTTACCTAACAAAGCTTAACCACTAATTCTATACCTATTCTGGATGCTGACTTACCTAACAATGCTTAACCACTATTTCTATACCTACTCTGGATGCTGACTTACCTAACAAAGCTTAACCACTATTTCTATACCTACTCTGGATGCTGACTTACCTAACAAAGCTTAACCACTATTTCTATTACTTCTCTGGGTTCTGACTTACCTAACAATGCTTAACCACTATTTCTATACCTACTCTGGATGCTGACTTACCTAACAAAGCTTAACCACTATTTCTATACCTATTCTGGATGCTGACTTACCTAACAATGCTTAACCACTATTTCTATACCTACTCTGGATGCTGACTTACCTAACAATGCTTAACCACTATTTCTATACCTACTCTGGATGCTGACTTACCTAACAATGCTTAACCACTATTTCTATAACTTCTCTGGGTTCTGACTTACCTAACAATGCTTAACCACTATTTCTATAACTTCTCTGGATGCTGACTTACCTTACAAAGCTTAACCACTATTTCTATACCTATTCTGGATGCTGACTTACCTAACAATGCAATGCTTAACCACTATTTATATAACTTCTCTGGATTCTGACTTACCTAACAATGCAATGCTTAACCACTATTTCTATACCTACTCTGGATGCTGACTTACCTAACAAAGCTTAACCACTATTTCTATACCTACTCCGGATGCTGACTTACCTAACAAAGCTTAACCACTATTTCTATTACTTCTCTGGGTTCTGACTTACCTAACAAAGCTTAATTACTATTTCTATAACTTCTCTGGATTCTGACTTACCTAACAAAGCTTAACCACTATTTCTATACCTACTCTGGATGCTGACTTACCTAACAAAGCTTAACCACTATTTCTATACCTATTCTGGATGCTGACTTACCTAACAAAGCTTAACCACTATTTCTATACCTATTCTGGATGCTGACTTACCTAACAATGCTTAACCACTATTTCTATACCTACTCTGGATGCTGACTTACCTAACAAAGCTTAACCACTATTTCTATTACTTCTCTGGGTTCTGACTTACCTAACAAAGCTTAACCACTATTTCTATACCTATTCTGGATGCTGACTTACCTAACAATGCTTAACCACTATTTCTATACCTACTCTGGATGCTGACTTACCTAACAAAGCTTAACCACTATTTCTATACCTACTCCGGATGCTGACTTACCTAACAAAGCTTAACCACTATTTATATAACTTCTCTGGATTCTGACTTACCTAACAATGCAATGCTTAACCACTATTTATATAACTTCTCTGGATTCTGACTTACCTAACAATGCAATGCTTAACCACTATTTATATAACTTCTCTGGATTCTGACTTACCTAACAAAGCTTAACCACTATTTCTATACCTATTCTGGATGCTGACTTACCTAACAATGCTTAACCACTATTTCTATACCTACTCTGGATGCTGACTTACCTAACAAAGCTTAACCACTATTTCTATACCTTCCGGATGCTGACTTACCTAACAAAGCTTAACCACTATTTCTATTACTTCTCTGGGTTCTGACTTACCTAACAAAGCTTAATTACTATTTCTATAACTTCTCTGGATTCTGACTTACCTAACAAAGCTTAACCACTATTTCTATACCTACTCTGGATGCTGACTTACCTAACAAAGCTTAACCACTATTTCTATACCTATTCTGGATGCTGACTTACCTAACAAAGCTTAACCACTATTTCTATACCTATTCTGGATGCTGACTTACCTAACAAAGCTTAACCACTATTTCTATACCTATTCTGGATGCTGACTTACTTAACAATGCTTAACCACTATTTCTATACCTACTCTGGATGCTGACTTACCTAACAAAGCTTAACCACTATTTCTATACCTATTCTGGATGCTGACTTACCTAACAATGCTTAACCACTATTTCTATACCTACTCTGGATGCTGACTTACCTAACAAAGCTTAACCACTATTTCTATACCTACTCTGGATGCTGACTTACCTAACAAAGCTTAACCACTATTTCTATTACTTCTCTGGGTTCTGACTTACCTAACAATGCTTAACCACTATTTCTATACCTACTCTGGATGCTGACTTACCTAACAAAGCTTAACCACTATTTCTATACCTATTCTGGATGCTGACTTACCTAACAATGCTTAACCACTATTTCTATACCTACTCTGGATGCTGACTTACCTAACAAAGCTTAACCACTATTTCTATTACTTCTCTGGGTTCTGACTTACCTAACAATGCTTAACCACTATTTCTATACCTACTCTGGATGCTGACTTACCTTACAAAGCTTAACCACTATTTCTATACCTATTCTGGATGCTGACTTACCTAACAATGCTTAACCACTATTTCTATACCTACTCTGGATGCTGACTTACCTAACAATGCTTAACCACTATTTCTATACCTACTCTGGATGCTGACTTACCTAACAATGCTTAACCACTATTTCTATAACTTCTCTGGATTCTGACTTACCTAACAATGCAATGCTTAACCACTATTTATATAACTTCTCTGGATTCTGACTTACCTAACAATGCAATGCTTAACCACTATTTATATAACTTCTCTGGATTCTGACTTACCTAACAATGCTTAACCACTATTTCTATACCTACTCTGGATGCTGACTTACCTAACAAAGCTTAATCATTATTTCTATACCTACTCTGGATGCTGACTTACCTAACAAAGCTTAACCATTATTTATATAACTTCTCTGGGTATCAGCCTATCTTACAACGCCTCCTAAACTTCAAAATTTAGATTAACATCACTGACGTGTCCTAGAAGCACGAAACAGCTGTATCATGCAATTTAATTCATTGTTTGGCTCTGCTGTACCTAACTCTAAAATTGTATTAAATGATGTTATAAACGTGTTTGTCTTTTGTACAATCTTCTATAACAATTTTGTTGACTTACCTTACAAAGCCTAAGTATCATTTCTTAAACTGCCGAATCACCTACAAACTCTGACGCACCATTTCTATCACTTCTCCGTATACCCACTTTCCTTACAAACCTCAGGAGCTATTTCCTTCTGGTGATGCCGACTTACCTTGCCCCACAGCCTCTGCCAGTATCACCATGGAAATACTCGTAAAACAGCACCAGGTCCCGAAAGTGAGGGTCCGAGGCATACTTATCATCCTCTCCTGGATGGTATAAACCCATGTAAAACATATAATATAAGAATTAGTGATGTCTCCTGAGTATAAACTGTAAATTTAAGCAATAATCGGTAAGGTCCTTGCTGTACATGTTTTAAATTTAAAAAAAAAATGAAAACTGTTCTTTCTAGAAAGAATCGGGACAGATTAATAGAAATAACGGGCAAAGTTGCGGAGTTGTATAACTTGCTTATATAGTTTGCTAATGTGTCTACACACTGTAATATCAACATTACCATGACAAGGTCTTTTTCCGTTCTTGTCGGGTATAAACAGAGACACCAGTCTCTCACACAACTCCTTAGCCACATCGCGCAGGCGCAGAAAACGACCGGAACCAGTTGGACATTCCACCTTGAGACTGTCGCCGTAGTAGTAGTCGAACCGGCAGAGGTTTTCTATCAGCAGATAGTTCACTGGCAAGAAAACCACTTATATCACAGGGTACATCCTCATCAATAATATATATCAATAGTGTTCGACGACACACAAAGGTGATTTTATCATCAGTCTGATGGAACAGAAAAAAGACCAGATCAAAAATAACGGCACACTGCAAATACGTATTTGATACTACATCGTTCATTCATCTGGTAAAATACGAACAGAAAATTCCATAAAAACACAGATGAAAATCTTTGATTAAATTTCCACTTAGGAAATACACTTGGTAAATCATTACGAAGCAGAGAAATATGCCCATCCATCTCCCGTAATTCATTCAAAACAGGAAATAAACAGGTATCTGTAGAGAAGAACGCGAGCAGAATTTCCTGTAACTGGTGCTGATGTTTTCCATCACACCCACTACATTCTGTAGTTTCTCAAATTTAATAACCTTCCTCAGAAAACATCGTCAGGTCATAATTTAATTCAAGATACTCACATCATATTGAACCTCTCCAGTTATTGTTTGACGTGGTAGAATTTGCACGGGAATGAGGTTGGACCCCTTCGGATATTGATTACATTGAAAGATTTTACATAAGAAACACACTGGACACCTTCAGTTATCATTGAACATGTGATAAGATTGTACAAACGTCACACAAGAGAATAGCACTATTTAATGCAAATATAAATAAGATACAGTGGAGCCGAACAATGAATTAAACCGCGTCATACTTCTGCTTTCTCCTCCTGGGACACGTCAGCCATAAGAGTCTTGATTTGAAACCAAGAAGGCGACTGAGGAAAATCCAAAATGACTACAGGAAATGTCAAAAGCTAGAGAGAGATGTGCACAAGCCCCACAATGCAGCAAATTTTGTAAATATTACATCTTTGTCGATTTCAGAGGAACGTCTTGTACCTGTACACTTTCTGAACAGTGACACTTTTCGAATGAATATAAACTAGAAATGCATGTTACGGAAAACCTCGGAGACTACTAGCTAATTAGCAGTGTCTACTACCTGCAATCTTGAAGAGACACACAAATGAATATTACCTTTGAATAGATTGGACACCTTCAGTTTAACGTGCGAGAAATTACACTGCAACCACATTGGAGCCACACTGGAGCCATTCACTTACTATCAAGTGTGAGAGAAATTAAACTGTAACCACACCGTAACCACACTGTAACCACACTGTAACAACACCGTAACCAACTGGGACCACACTGGACCCATTCAGTTGCTATTAAGTGTGAGAGAAATTTAACTGAAACCACACTGTAACCACACCGTAACCAACTGGGACCACACTGGACCCATTCAGTTACTATTAAGTGTGAGAGAAATTATATGGGAACAACACTGGAACTACACTGGAACCTTTCAGTTACTTTAAACTTGAGATAAATTACACTGGAGCCGCACTACCAATTCAGTTACTATTGAATGTGCAAGGATTTTCACGGCAAAACACTGTTTAACCTGGGAGAATTTTCACGGGAACCACACTAGACACCTTCAGTTATTGTTTAAATTGTAAACAACTAACACGGGAACCACAGTAGACACCTTCAGCTATTGTTTAAATTGTAAACAACTAACACGGGAACCACACTAGACACCTTCAGCTATTGTTTAAAGGGGGGAGGGGGACTTACACCGGAACCACACTGGATACCTTCAGGTATTGATTAAAGGGGGGGGGGGACTTACACGGGAACCACAGTGGACACCTTCAGGTATTGATTAAAGGGGGGGGGGGGGGACTTACACGGGAACCACAGTGGACACCTTCAGGTATTGATTAAATGGGGAGGGAGACTTACACGGGGACCACAGTGGACACCTTCAGGTACTCATTAAGTCGGGGGACTTACATGGAAACCAGATCGGACCCCTCCAGTTACTGTTGCCTCCAAACATGTTCGTCTCAGATTCCCCGGGCTCATAACGCACGCCGTACGTCGCTCCATTAACGTCCATGTTAAATGGTTTATCCAGATGGCGCTACGGATATACATTAATTTCAATGAAGAGGTTTGATAACCAAGTTAAAACATCTCATGATGTTATATATGTATACAATTTATCATTTTATGCATTTTGTTTTTAATTTCCGAGAAAGAAGTTCCAAGAAACGAGCCTGTGACATATCATATGGCTAGATATTATTAAATGAAAAAATAGTAATAGGTATGTCGGTTAATAAATGTTCGTTCTTGTCATTACTATGGTTCCCCAACTGCGATGTGATGTAAATCAACTATATTATTGTTTCAGTCTTTAATCACTAGTTATATGGCTTGTTTACACTGTATTGATTTATTGATTTTAAACAAAATACTGTAATCAACTTCAACAGAGAGAAATACTATTAAAAAATACTTTACACAGTAATCGTTCCAGTATCTGTGTTACCTGGAGGCAGGTAGGAATGACATTTCTAATCAATGGAGACATGTGGGAATGTTATTTTAAACATAGTTAAACGGCTATACTTATGCCCGCTGCTCGTTTCAGGTAACCTAGCAATACTTTAGGTGAGGCACGTTAACGATAATATTAAGTGATAGACCTTAACTGCACAGATTTAAAATAGAACACAACCGTAAGTGGATTAGATTGTTTCGGGCCGTGTTCATTACCTGACATAAACCATAACATCCGGCTATAATTGGCGTTTTACTATCATAGCGACAACTCCCTTATCAACACTACAACGAACGAGCGGTGTTCATCTCTCTACTTCTTTTCAAATATATTAACATTTCAAAATTACATATTTAAAGGTATTCAAAATGCCTTGCTAAAGTTCAAAATGCAATTGTGCTAGGAATCACTTTCTGATTATAAAATATTTTTATTACTAGCCTCAAAGTTTGTAGGATTGTGCATATTTTTCTAGTGTTCGTATCAACAGGACAATTTTATGTGCAATTGAATGAATTTCAGTGTATGTACGTCTTCACCAAGGGTTTAACACGGACAGTATGTAAGCTTTAGATACCAGTGTGGGGTTGCCAAGGATGAGAGGATAAATACAAATTAATATGTAGGCTTCGGGTAGCCTTTCTCTGGTGTAAGATAACTAATGGTAAAATATGGCCATTTATAAACTTTGGATAAATGTTTTTCTTGTGCGATATAAACACAGATATAGGATCTTAAGAGAGTTTTCACTTAACAGGATATTTCATCAAACAAATACCCTACAAATGCTTGGTTTGTCGAGCCTTGCCGAGCAAAAACTGTAACACAAAATCGAGTTTCATACGAAATGAAAACAAATTTAAGATGCTTTTTATCTCATCACTCGGAAAGGATACATTTTGGCAAGTTTTAAGGTCAAAATGTAGATGAGAGAGTCAGACAGATGTACGCAAATTTCAATAAATTACGTAACGTCATTGTCCATATGATGAAAACACTATCGATTTCTGACTAGCACAGAAAAAAAACTGCTTAGGGCATATCATGCTATTGACATATACAAAAATATTACATGTAAGAATTTGCTAGTTAAAAGGCAGTCTAAACTATTATGTAGGCATCGGAAAACTTTTCTCTTTTGTAAAGGTACCACCAGTAAAATATATTTTACATGACACTGGGTATAAGTTGTTTATAAGTTGTGTGTGATTATCACATGTAAATGAATAATTATAATCAAGTTTATTTCCTTCGTAACCATCAAAACAGGAACCCATTATAGACTGTAAATTATCTTTTTATTTCAGTTAAGACTTTCTTTATCAAGTCTGCTTTTCCAACAAATAGCATTACTACAAGATCTATCTTACATTTCTTGCCGCAACATCTTTAGCAGGAAATTTCTACACAAACATATAGTTTGTGTGAATTAAAACATAATAAAGCGAATTTGGTTTCACAACTAAAGTTACTTTCTTGGCACATTATATGAAACAAATAATAACTACCAATTTCATAGTTGATTTATAGTTTTGTTGCGAACACAGTCTTTCGTTTGACACAATTTACAAAGCAACATCAAAGAGCATCTGTTATAACCAATGTGAGATCCTTATAGCCAGATGTATTTCGTTCTCCGTTCCTTTTCATTTTTATCGATTTCTTTCTAACGCTTTGTATTTGTTTCGTTTTATCAAATTTCAGTTTTTTTCTGTTTTATTTCATTTTCATTAGATTGCTTTATAAATGTTTGCTTATAGTGTGTTGTAATACTCTTTAATTATGTATCTGATATTTTCTATTTTATGAACTTTAGATATATATTCATTACCTTTGACAATGACCGTATACCGTAGGGGGACAGAAACTCCTCCTCGTTCAGTAGGTGTGCTAAAACTCGAACTAGCTGCTCTTTCTTAACTATCGCTAAAAGTATCGCTTCTTCTCGTCCCTCTTGACAGAAGAATGAGATCTGCAAAAATATGTTCCTTTCATTACTTCAATCCAAATCAAAAATGTTTCTGTGTTCTTTCTGTAAAATAAACCTAAAACGAAAGTAATGCTTTTTCGTTACATCTTCTCGACATGCAGCTTCGCATCTTTTAGGAATTTTTGTCAGTTTCGTATGCCATGATTTATCAAAATATATGAGAATATTTTTTTCTGATAGAGATGAAATATAGCTTTGTGATGCTTCAGCTACATAGAATCTTGTGTATACTTTCCATTACATTTATGTATGTGTCAGTGTTTGCAGCAGATATTCTACATACTATTTCTTTAATGCCAGCATATCAAACAGATTTACGGGTAGGAGATACCCGGGAATTCCATAGGTGACAACGTATTGACACCGCCACCTTGATAGCGTAGTCTTAAACATTTTGATTTAAATGTATGAAGCAAACTGACATCATGTATCTATCCGTTCGCGTTAACAGTGTGACCTTCAAATAGTATCACTAACCTTGCCTCATATTGTTTACACACTTTTGTCGTGTTAATGCCTCGAAGGAGATTACAAGCGATTTAGGGGAAATCGTGAATAAGATCGAATCTCTGGTTGATAATATATTTGTTGAGATCAAAGGTAGCATGTCCAGACCATTGGTATATCTTAAGAAAGGAATTGTGTCCCTTTCGTAGCCGGATAGCAAGCAATTTCCCTTTTCCCGCTGATTTTCAAGAAATCAACAAGACCAAGAGGTCGCCATTCCTTAACGGTGATCTGAATCTTAAGACCTATAAATAGCTGTCAGATCAGTTATAATAATGGGAACAGTTTTTAAATTAGTACAACCGATTTGAACATTCTAGTCTTTAATGTAGCAAAACAACACTGTACATTTCAGATTCCAACATTCCCACAACAATGTTGCTGAACGACGCCAGTAGAACTGGAGGAGAGACTGAAAATGCATTCGTAAGGGTTTTGAACAGACCCAAAAATTTAAGCCATTTGGTCAGAACTACGTCAGGATCATCTCAGGCAAGTTTGAGCTGAATCTCAAGGATAGAACCAGAGCAGAAACGTTAACTGGTGTTGTTCCAGAAAAACCATGATTGCAAAAAAATAAGTTACAAAATTTCCACTGTGGCTGCTGTTACAGCCTGTTGACGGCCGAACAATCTGTCAACACTATCTAAACCAATTTTCAACGAAACTTGAGAAGAGTTTAAGAATGCATTTTTCTAGATGGTTGCCATGGAGAACTAGTTGGATTTTTGACCGACCGAACAATTACAAATTACAGTTAGTTAGGACTATATCAGGTACTTTTCAAGCAAGGTTATATATTTAAATCAAGTTTAGATCAGATGATTATTGCAAGACAAATTATAATTGAACAATCATATGACAAAATCATAACCGTAGCTAGGTTTCAACGAGGTCGAAATATAGCAACATGTTGTTGACCTCCAACTCAATGCTATCAGTGACACTTAAGAAGTTCAGGATGTGTTTTTTTTTTTTTTTTTGTTTTTTTTTAAAGGTTGAGTATTTGTATTATTGAGTTGGACATACCCGAAAGATAACAACACATTGTCAAGGTCAGCTGAGGATAATTTCCGAGAAGTTTTATCTGAATTCCTGGATGGAACAGGTGGACTTGAGAAGATAAAAAAGGCACTTCTTTGCAGTTAACCTTACAGCTTCAAAACTATATATAGGATAAGCATGATGACTTCAATTTCGCTTTACGAATGTTATATTTTATTCATTGTTTGGGTCTACGGCTTTACTGTATCTAAATTTATATTAAAAGGTACTATTCACGGGTGTCTTTTGTACAATCTGATACATACTACATACATACTACTGTAATATGATATCAACATCACTGTTTTCACGTGAATAACACCTCTTAATGCAAAAGGGTTAGACACAATAGAGCAAGATATTGAAGTAAACTTATCATAGAAACATTAGAGGCGACTGAGGAAAATCCAAAGAAATCGAACGAAATGTAAACAAGTTAAAGTTGATTCAACATTCTTGGGATTATTTCAATCATCGCGATTTCCACGCAAGATGACAACTGATATGTTACCTCACAACCCTGGTTTCGAGAGATGAAAGATGGGGATCATGGAGTATGACGATGCCCGTTAGTATGCATGGTGGATTTCTATCTAAACTCAATATAGATGAAACGGGTGCTAAATCTTAATAAAGGGAAATGACAATCACATTCTTTACAACACAATACAAATAAAACGAACACAAGTCCAGTACTCACACGTTTAGTAAGATCCTTCCTGTGCTTGAGAAACCATTTGGTTCGCTTGTAGAAGTGCGTGTGCATCTTTATATCCGAGAACTTCAACACCAAAGTTGAGAAAAGGGGGACAACTCCAACTACGGACATGATCTTTAAAGGATAAGTTGTCTTATTGTGTTTTACGTGATCGTAGTAAAAACCATCTTCTTCATTCCACAGACCTGTAATACATTGTGATGGCGTCAGCACAAAACTTCCCAGAGGTACTAGACATACTACGCGAAACTGAAACCTTGGAAAGAACATTCGTTGTTCTGAAGGAATTTTGCCTATTTTACTACTTACAATATTAAATGATATGCATGTTTTGTATCTTCAAGGAAAAGAAATATATTGAATATACTGTCTGTCGTCCATTATTTATGTTCGATCTAAATGGTCGATGGCATCATTATCCATTCGCAGACACATAAATATCCACTGAGTATCTGAAAATGATCATGTTGTAAGACAATCAAATTTATCGAACAAGTATTGCTCCAAGAGAAACTGATAATAAATACCCATGGTTCCTTTTTCGTTTATGGCATCTATGATGGCTACGAAGTGCTCGAAGAACTTGCTGGCCATGTCCTCGTATGTAGGATCACGTTTTGCTAAGATTAGACTAATCTCCAGCATAATGGAACAGAAAAACGACATCCAGGCTGTACCGTCTGCTTGAACAAGACGGCCACCCGTCGGGAAGGGTTTAGACCGGTCAAATATTCCAATATTATCTAAACCCAAAAATCCACCGGAGAAAATGTTCTTACCGGCCGGATCCTTCCTGTTTACCCACCTGTAAAGATTTGCCGAAAATTTACGACTGCTTGATTTCAGGACCGACATTTAAATTCATTGGATTATGATTTCATACAATTCAAATGCATATAGCCAACTTTTAAACTAATTCAAAGACGATATAAAATCCGAGTTAACAAATTCTCTTATATTTTGCCGTTAAGGGATACAATGATGGGTTAAAAATCCAAAGAAGTGAATGACGTTGTTGTGTATACAATTGAACCACCGATTGTGTTATGTCGATGTATTTAGTTTGAGGGAACAGAGCTAATTTCCAAAATTGAAATAAGATTAATGTGTCAACAGACATAGGCACAGGAAATCTATTACATTGGAACATAAGGTTTATTTCAGGACGCAGTTGTGCAAACATTAGCTATAAAACGTAGCAATTGAAAAACCTATTTTATTGTACTTATTCATTAACAAATTTACACTGCTTTATTGCCGGCAAAACTCAGATTCGAAAAGAAATTGAAGTAGATAAACGCACCATGTGAAGTTGAGGACTAGTTTGTGGAAACACCTGGCAAGGAATACCAGATCTCTCTTGCCTTTAGTACCAGATGCTTTGTATATTTTCAGAGCTGCATAGGCATGCACTGGAGGGTTGACATCTTCAAAGCAGAACTCATAGGCTGGAATCTGTATATAATTATCTGGTAATTAGTAATTGATGGCTGACACATAGAGATATCTTATAAAGCACAGATCAACATAATGTTTAGTTTATCTGTCCCTTAAACAACTTTATCTAATAAAGCACAGATCATCATAATTTTTAGTTTATCTGTCCCTTAAACAACTTTATCTAATAAAGCACAGATCAACATAATATTTAGTTTATCTGTCCCTTAAACAACTTTATCTAATAAAGCACAGATCAACATAATTTTTAGTTTATCTGTCCCTTAAACAACTTTATCTAATGAAGCACAGATCAACATAATATTTAGTTTATCTGTCCCTTAAACAACTTTATCTAATAAAGCACAGATCAACATAATTTTTAGTTTATCTGTCCCTTAAACAACTTTATCTAATAAAGCACAGATCAACATAATTTTTAGTTTATCTGTCCCTTAAACAACTTTATCTAATAAAGCACAGATCAACATAATATTTAGTTTATCTATCCCTTAAACAACTTTATCTAATAAAGCACAGATCAGCATAATATTTAGTTTATCTGTCCCTTAAACAACTTTATCTAATAAAGCACAGATCAACATAATTTTTAGTTTATCTGTCCCTTAAACAACTTTACCTAATAAAGCACAGATCAACATAATTTTTAGTTTATCTGTCCCTTAAACAACTTTATCTAATAAAGCACAGATCAACATAATATTTAGTTTATCTATCCCTTAAACAACTTTATCTAATAAAGCACAGATCAACATGATTTTTAGTTTATCTGTCCCTTAAACAACTTTATCTAATAAAGCACAGATCAACATAATATTTAGTTTATCTATCCCTTAAACAACTTTATCTAATAAAGCACAGATCAACATAATATTTAGTTTATCTGTCCCTTAAACAACTTTATCTAATGAAGCATAGATCAACATAATATTTAGTTTATCTGTCCCTTAAACAACTTTATCTAATAAAGCACAGATCAACATAATTTTTAGTTTATCTATCCCTTAAACAACTTTAACCATATTTTTTTCCATGATTACTCGTAATGTTTTACAACATAGATTGTAGTCCGAGTGATGAATAATAGAACGGCGTTGTCATCAATATATCTTTGAATGCCTTAACAAACCTGACCGTTAGGATGCATATACCATTCCCTCAAAAGCAGCAAGATTTGTTCCTTGGCGAAATGGATGTCAATATTGGCCATGGGGATCATGTGGAAGGCGAGGTCCCACGAGGCATACTAGAAATACCATATATAAGAAAAGTGATACATATAATCTGTACTTTGTATAACCCACTTCCTGAATACTTATTGGAAGTTTCTGTGTGTTATACAATGGATTTATCCATTTGTTAATGATATGGTTCGGTTTTAGTAAATGTAATTAACGTATAAACAATGTATAACTATATCCCTTCTATCTAGTCAGAAACATTTAAAACAACACCGGTATCGTATAAGATAAAGGGTATCCACAAAAACTTCAAAACTTTCTACTGCCATTTTTATCACATAAAATAAGATTTGTGTGTCGATTATGATCATAGACGACCTTACCAGTAGTTGATGGTGTGAACTTACCCATGGGTACTCCCATTTATCCGGCATAGAAATGACATCTCGATTAAACAAATGTTTCCAATCAGAGTTGCGGCCCTTTTCTCTTCTAGTTGGAGGCCGTGGCTGTGTTCTGTCTCCCGTCAGCCAAGTTTTAATGATATAGTAATAGAATTGTTTGCTCCACAATAGACCGCCATAGGCCTGTCTCACAATATCTTTATCGGTCGGGCGTCTGTTAGGAATCACCTGTATATCATTTAATAATACCGATTCAAGACTGACATATCCGACAATATCTAGACAAAAATATCATTCCTCTGGGTGAATTATACACACTATGACTCGCACAAGAGGGAAAACCATTCCGATTCATCAAATTCTAAGTTTATCCTCAATGTTAAAATGGAATCTTATTAATAAACATCATTTATCCACAACATCATATTGACATGACTATGAAGAGATACAATACTTTTTTTCTTAAAATCGTTGGATTTGACAGTGAGTTATAGACAGTTGAGCCTGTATACCTGATTATAAAATGCATCAGCTTCCATTCGTCTTTGCTTAAACATAGAATCAAATTCATTGGGTGAAAAACAACGCAATGGGGCCTCGCTTTCTAAATACAGCCTCACTCTGATGACGAACTCCTCCCCCTCCGCAAGGTGGAGCTTATAATGCGCTGCACATTTTGTTCCTTCTTTGGCCGGATTCACTCTCTCTGTTTGACCTGGGTTGTAAAAATAAACGAATATATCTCGCTTTGGTACATATTTCTTCCATTGCCTGCAAATACAGCCATCTCAATTATTTCACTATGGTATAGATGAACGCTGATTATAGTATGCATTTAAGGTTCCACTGCACCTGTATTAGAACAATGCTGTAAGTGGTGTTTGCCAAAGTTTTGTATGTGTTGATTTGTCATCAGTATCAAGGATGGAATAAAATCGTGGAAAATCGGATACTGTAAAATAATTTATATTCGCGTGAATTTTATTTTCATTGAGGTTATTTTTAATCGATGAATTTATCTGTCCACGAACTCTAGAAATTATTTTATTTAAAAAAAAGGCTACTGTGCTATAATTATTCATGAAATCAGGTCTCCACAAAAAAATCAATAAAAATTAAAAGAAAAAAAAAACATTTAAAAAAAAAAGAAAGAAAGAAAGAAAAGGAAATTGAGCTCCACGAAAATATCTTGAAGTACCCAGAAAATGAAATTTAAAAAAGAGAACGGGAGAAGAGTCGGGTGAATGGTTTCCATGCAAAGTAAATCCTTTTTTTGCTAACAAGTTAATAACAAACAAGCAAACATTTTACAGTAACAACTTGCTGAAACCTACCGTTAATGACGTAGTAATGGAATGCGTCCTTGACATAGTCAGTTGTGTTACCACACCCGAACAAGCGCTCCAAGTTCGAATCATTTTCGGTAAACAACAACTCGGGACAGTGACCCTGCTGATCCACGTCTACTTCAAAGTAAAAAACTCCTGTTGTAAAGAAAAGATATTTTGTACAAGTCTAAGAAACATATAAAGGAGGACGTGAAAGAGGGACTGGGTGTGCATTACAGAAAATAGAAAATAATTTGACAATAAATACATCTGCTTGTTGTGTAAGGCTGGATCATGTATATACCTGTTTGGTATATCTGTTTACAATTTCATCTCAGAATATTGTATTGCACACGTTACTATGAAGTACAAATGGAATGGCAAGAGGCATAACCTAAACAAGCCCTCTACGTAATTCTGATAGTACAAAGCATACAAACCAGATAACAATTCAGTAGTTTTGTTTATATACGATTTGTCCTGCTAATACGGACAGTTTTACTTTAGACATGTTAATCTAATTTGTCAATATGACTACTTTTCACATGCATGCTAGAGGCGCCACTTTTTGCTGTATTTTAAATTTGTTCATTTCAATATTATAACAGTTCTAGTGTGACTGTAGATTTGAACATTGTGCTATCCTGACGATTGTTTTACTTTGTAAAGTTTCATATTTTGCCGTGCTACTGCCGATACTTTTAATTCACAAATCTGTTAATATCACTAGCTGGTTAGACTTATCATTTGGAAGGTATACTCAAATGTCATATTACTTAAATATTAGATAAAATTAACAAGAAATATGTTGTATCAATGAACCAGCTGTCGATTTTTCAATCTCTGTAATTTACATAATACCGATGTTAAGATTTGTTTCACCTCTTACCAGGGGTTACTTCAGACAAAAGATCCGTTATACTTCTGCTCCTTCCAGCCAAGGGTTTACTTCTCGGAATCCCTTCGAAAACATAACAATGACCAGCGCAAAATGAATTCATCAGCATCGTAGAGAGTTGAATTTTTTCTAATAAATCTCAACCTTTAAAGTTTAATTATTAATAAGCATATCAAAATTCTAATATACTGCAGTATTATGAATCATCATATTGTAAAACAATACTGACGTGTTATGACTGTAATTAATTACAATGATTGATGATGAATTAGGAGACATTTGTACGGAAGCCGTTTAGTGACATCTGTTTTATTACCTAAAACAGCAGACAAAGACGCAGGATACTAGTATTTGGTTCTTTGTTATTCTATACAGCATCGTACTATTATGGTGAGCTAAAAAGTTCTCAACATCGACTTACCCAACGTTGGATGTCGACAAACAACTTTTCTCTCTGCTTCCTGAGACATGCTGGGTTTAGGTTCTTCATAACACTTTAACATATAAATTTATACTCGCGTCAGTTTATTTTGAATGCAAATTTGAATGGTTTATTCCATAACATAATACATTCGATGTCAGTATAGTACGTGAGTGCATATAGGACACTATAAATGTTTTTCGTTCTGTCCGTACTAAATAACAAAACAACTTATATCTGCCTGGGCAGAATAATGAGAATTTGGCCATCAGCCTTCTGGCATCCGGGGGTTACGTTAAGGTGAACAGTTATGTAACCGCGTGTAGCAGATTATCATCAAAGTTTATGCTAAATTCTTACGATATAATTTATAGTAATTTTGTCCGGGTTAATTATGAATTTTTCCGAGCAGATTTTTTTTTTCTTGTGCACGGGCAGAATAGAAATAGTTTTATTATGTTCCATAAATTCACATAAAAACACGGGCAAAATAAGAACAAAAGAAAGATTTACACAGAGACTCCTGAAAAAGTGCATTGAGAATAAAACCAAGCGATCCAGAAGAATAAGCATTTGTTCCTTCATGGACGGCACCCACCATGTAAATCATGAGCAATCCAATTAAGTAATATCATGTTCTCAAATGACAGCAAGGTATACAACAACGGAACTAACAGGGAAGCCAAAGTTAATATTAAATTACTTAACTAAAATAGATTATCGACTTTTAAACAATTATTCATCATGGTAGTTTCGAAGTGATATCATTATTGTCGAGATTTATATAACAAAGTATTTAAAAGCCATCGCATTCTAACTCTTCACGTTGGAACATTCGTAAAATTGATTCTTACGTAGCAATCTTCACCCCAAGACCACACGTTCCGGAACCATAGCGTGGGTAGCACGTGCACTGTGGCGGGAGTAGTACCTCTATTAGTGATGACGTAACGTCCGAGTATGTTGTTTGGGCTGGCTTTGCAGTATTCGGCAAATACGTCAAAGTATTCGTCGTTGTCAAACACACCTATTTGTTTATATAAAAACAAATGGTGATTGAATGGAAGGAGTACCTGTTTACAGGGGCTGTATGATTTCATCTTACAAAGTTTGACCATAAAAACCAGCTTTCGCTGACTTTTAACTTCTTTTTTCAAAACTTATAGTTCCATTGGGCATACATTAAGAAAGTGCTTAGTACAATAAATACTTTGAAAGAATCTTGCTCGACAGTTAACAGGTTCTTGACGTCTTCTGATTTCGCCAGTTGTCTTTTTTCTTGACAGAAATGTTCTTTAGGTTATAATGTTCTACTAACCAGTATTTAAAATTTCCAGTTCTGGTTCCCCAACCGACCTCTCTTTATTGCCTTCTACAAGCTGTGTATAGGGATACGAGGCATGTGGGTACTTGTAGAGAGCGGACATGTAAGAGTGGGTCGGGGTATTATCTAGGTAGTAATACAATTCCTTCACATCCTCCCCATGGTTACCCTGGAAACGAAACCTCATGTACATTGTTTTATTTCATCACAATTAACACTTATTTTGTTAACATTCTTTTAAAAGAAGATATCATAAATGAAATTAACCCGTCATGTCATTTTGTAAAGGTTATAATGACACTATCTGGTGCCTGTAGTATATGAGTTATATCTAAGCTCTTTTTGCGGCTGAAATAACAGAAGTTCACACTTTAACAATAATAAGACCAATTAGTTAGTACCCAAAACCCGTCAAGTCAAACAGCCGTCCTTTGGAAGGAGAGTGCCCTAGATGTTTCGCAGAAGTAGACACAATTCTTCTACATATGCAAACACACTTTCCACAACGCTCATCAAACCAAACAGACACCGTTTAAATATTGCACAATATGCGGTCTATAAGGTCTGGCCAGACAGACTTACCTCATGTCCCGTCAAGCCAAACAGGCGTTCTTTAAGGATCGTGTCCTTGGTGTTCCATAGTGCCAGAGAGAGGCAGAGGCGACATTTCCTGTCACAAATCCCCAGTAGTCCGTCCTCGCCCCACCGGTATGCACGTGATCTCGCATGGTCATGAGGGAAATGGTTCCAACTTATAAGTGAGAAAAAATATAAATAAATAAATAAATAAATAAACCGTGGCATGAAGCAGATACATTCCCACATTCAATACGCCCACGTGCTCAAGATCATTAGATATGATGTTCACTCTAATGTTATCACGACATTTATTATCCTAGGGCCGCGTTTTAACAGAAGCATTCATATATACAGTGCAGCGTTTCTCGGCGATTCTTGTTAATTTAACATGCACGCGACTTATCTTTGATACAATCTAGATTACACGACAGTAAGATCCTGTCTGATGTTATGTAATATCATGTTAATGTTATTTCCGTTCAGAAGTTGTAGATTTATATTTACGAAGGAATGTATAGATGATTACCACACATCAAAAACAATAACGTGTAGAATAGTGGATAGTCCACATCCTGTTGTTATTAATACGTCATCTGGCCTTGTTTTAGAGAACATTCCCTATCATGATCTAGGCGTATTAACAACGGAGAGACACTTCGCCAGATCGTATCTCTGCACCAAAGTGTTGTAATAACCTTCTGTAGAGAAAGCAATTTCTTAAAGATTCTATATCAACCAATGGTATTGCTGACTAAAGAACAATGGCTCAACGCGATATTTTTTTCCAATCAAAATGGGGCATGGTCAAATTGTCACTTAGATAAGGAGTATATAGAATGTGACTTGAGTCGCCAGAGTTGGTAGAAATAAAGTGAAGTTTGTGATATTGTGTTTAAAATGTCTTACCTTAGCTTAACGTATCAAGACTGATACATGAAAACGTGTTGGTTGCAGTATTAGCTATAGCTGTGGGCTAGTGAAAAAAAGGCGGGAAATGCTAGCAAAGTCGGACCTAAGAGTGACAAAAGCATCTGTTTGTGTGTTTATACTGTTTTGTTGACCGACATTGAGAATACTCTTGTGGATTATATGATAGCATCAGCTTTTGTTCTGTAGTTTCAAATACCACAAGAAATCATATTTTGATTATAAATCCCGGAATATTTTAGAACGTTTCGAGGTTGGCAACAAATTTAGAATTAAAAACTTAGATTTTCAGGATCTATTCTCACACGCCTGATGTCGAAATGCGTGAAATGTGAATTTCTCTGTTTGATGCAACCATTTTCACTGTAAGATAACTGTAAGATTTAGCAGTTTAGCAAAACAAAGCGAAAACAATTTCAACGTATATTTTCCAACCCGACCGTAGCCGTTGCATTTCCGAACCACTGCTGTGAGTTTGAACTGAAGCAGTGTGGAATCCTGTGGAAATGAATCAGAAAATATTTACTGACTTGCAGAATAAGCAGAGAAAAGATCAGGTGTATCACAGGTAATGTAACAATTACTAACATTTAGCTGTACCGCTAACTCACTCACCCTCTCCCTCACAATATCTCTCTTGTTTTCATATGTGTTAAATGTCAGGGGCGTAGCTTCCATAGAAAGAAAAAGCCCGGGCTTACACATAAAAAAATCCGTGCATAGAGAATGTCGGACAAAATTACAAAACTAAGGTTGAAAATAAATACCAGGGGTTGAAGTTTGTTGTTAAATAAATTAAAAAACTGTCTCAGCAAACGATTCAAAACACCTTTGAAATCATGAAATTCAGACCCCTCGCCTGGGCTTATACATTTCTGCTGGGCTTGCTACGCCCCTGAATGTTCTTCTGGTTAAATAGTGGTACGTATTGTGGCCGATTTCGGCGGAGTACTTTTTGTCACACCGTCGTATCAGCCACCAAAGGTGTAGTTGTACATTTTATTCTCTCTCAAGTTTACACATATTGGTTCAGTGTTAAAGCTATTCATCAGGGTTTTTTTCGTTGACAGATGGTCTTTCCGAACACTTGTACAAGCTGTTGGAGCGCTAAGGACAAATCCGCACAATACGTATCTCATGTGTCTATACAGTTTTCACGAAGATCCATACAGAACAACAGTGGATATGATGTCGGCACGGTATACTGTACATTATGTTTGCTTGTCTGCAGAATGCATGCTATGTAAGAAACATGCTAATAAATGTCTAAAAAAAGTACTACAATTAATGGGCATGTCACTTACGTTAGGTCGCTACACATATACCATTGCCATACGCGACGTCAGCCGAGAGATTTTGGTCTAAAAAAGGGGGTTATAATCCTTTAAACTTTGATTTGAAAATAAGACATGCGTGACTTGGTAGATCAATATATATGATTTTTTTAATGAAATTCTATAAAACTTTTGAAAATTGATAATAAATCATTATCTATAATCGATTATGAATGATTCAATAGACCTTACAAGACATTGTTCATAAAGGTAAACACGGCTTGCTGGTAAGGAGGTTACCGCATACAAAAAAACATCATTTATCTGTCTGTGTGTCACAGTCATTATGTAAACCATGCCATGTTACTATACACAGCTAAGTAATGTCGAGGTGATCTGGTTCCCTGGGAGGTCAGTCCCCATTACTACTTACCAATTTCCATCAGACGAGTAATCCTCCCGGACCGTCCCCCACTGTCGCTCAGACAGGAACGGCCCCCATCGTTTCCAGTCTTTATTTCTTAGTTTGTCTTCGTTCAGACGATCCTTCTCCGCAGAGCCCATGCTATATAGGCAATGTGGTTAACTGATTACGCTACATACACTATTTATACTTTTCACGCGAGCTGCAGACGCCGAAATAGATACTTGTTAACCGACTTACCAGACTTGCTCAAGTCCTATCGTCATTATACGAATCGTTATCGATTTTATGGGAAAAAAATCAAGAGAAAGTGGGGATAAAAAATGTGTTTCTAGATCAATTTATTCAATATATTTTGTTTCTCGTCCAAACAAATCACTTTGATCGCTCACAATCACAAGCATTTAACGACAGATAGAGTTGGGGTCTGACAAACGTAAAGGAGGGGTAAATACTTTGTATAGTTTAGAAGTAATAAATATGTTTGTATATACTGCGTAAGTATAGAAGTGACGAGAGAATGTTGATAGTGGGCGTAGTTTAGGAATAACGGGGTAGTGTTTATAGTGGGTGTAGTTTAGGAATAACAGGAGGGTGTTTATAGAGGGTGCAGTTTAGGAATAACGGGAGGGTGTTTATGGTGGGTGTAGTTTAGGAATAACGGGAGGGTGTTTATAGTGGGTGTAGTTTAGGAATAACGGGAGGGTGTTTATAGTGGGTGTAGTTTAGGAATAACGGGAGGGTGTTTATAGTGGGTGTAGTTTAGGAATAACGGGAGGGTGTTTATAGAGGGTGTAGTTTAGGAGTAACGGGGGGGGGGTGTTTATAGTGGGTGTAGTTTATGAATAACGCGAGGTTGTTTATAGTGGGTGTAGTTTAGGAATAACGGGGTAGTGTTTATAGTGGGTGTACTTTAGGAATAACGGGAGGGTGTTTATAGAGGGTGTAGTTTAGGAGTAACGGGAGGGTGTTTATAGAGGGTGTAGTTTAGGAGTAACGGGGGGGGGTGTTTATAGTGGGTGTAGTTTATGAATAACGCGAGGGTGTTTATAGTGGGTGTAGTTTAGAAATAACGGGGTAGTGTTTATAGTGGGTGTACTTTAGGAATAACGGGAGGGTGTTTATAGTGGGTGTAGTTTAGGAATAACGGGGTAGTGATTATAGTGGGTGTGGTTTAGGAATAACGGGGTAGTGTTTATAGTGGGTGTAGTTTAGGAGTAACGGGGTAGTGATTATAGTGGGTGTAGTTTAGGAATAACAGGAGGGTGTTTATAGAGGGTGTAGTTTAGGAGTAACGGGGTAGTGTTTGTAACGTGGGACGGGCCTCTGTGCAGTATATCAGGAAATCAACACAAGAATGCAACAAATGAACATATACACAAATTTATTAACATAGAAAACATGAAAACTACAGACACCCAGTCACACTCACAATCACTCTCCATTCATACACTTTAACAGTAAAGATGGCTACAGTCTCTTCACAGACAAGGTACAAGGTGGTCTCACAATCAACATCTCCAATGTGTCGAATAGTGCACACGGAGGGTGCACGAAAAACAGCTTCCGTGGACTGACAAAGTCCGAGTTGTAAAGGAACGACTCGCTCAGTTCCCAACACCAAGACGAATTGCTGACAAAGCAACCGTATCCTGAAAACTCCCTCACTGATAGGGCGGTGACTAGCTTACATATTACAGCCGAGTCGCTACATGACAGCCTGTCCCTGGAGACAATCCTTCTTTGCAGTTGACCTAGACCCTGAGTGACTGAAATGTAACGTTGGTCGGTCCCGTTACTGCACGGCGAAGACCTGGCGCTCCAGCGGTGCTGACCTTCTGTAGGCTCTATGGTGATTTACCCATCATGTGAAGCTTAAAACAAAAACAAAAGACCACTAAACGTTCATCCTTCCACCCATGACTACAATTACATATAACTCACAAAGTTTCTTACAACTAACCAGTAAATTAACATTATTTATAATCAATACTCTATTATTTGTTTGTGTAATACAATGGGAATACACGACTACATTTTACAATTCTACGGTGCGTGATAAAATACACAATATCAAAATTCAACAAAACAACCATATCGTTACGCGAAACATACACGACGCTAACGGCCTTCTATAGAATTTATACCGTGACGCTCTCACACCGGTTCATGCGCACACGACTTCCACTCACGGCTTCCATACTTTTTTTAACACGAACGTAACCACATTTCTACGTGTACTTTACGGTTTTACAACGACTAAATAACTGACAAAATAGCCACTCTAGATGTACAATAACAATTTTCAAATGTATCCAGCCTAATTCAACGTTAAATCCTAGAAAATAAACATGCATCGTAAACACTGAAAGCTACGCATGAACGAACACGCACCGACAATAGATAGCTTGACCTATAAGAAGGACATCGTAAATATGGCAATAAACAACCACATAAAACAGCATATTACGAAAGAAAGACAGAATACTTACCCCAGTCAGATGTCTGGGCTTCATTTCCACGACTAAACAAAGTCACTCACGCCATAAAGTCGGCAAACAGGTAACGAAAACAGAACAAAGGCGTGCTGGTCACCTGGACAGTCAATGTCCACTGTTCCGCTAACACTCGCATACCCGCTCACGTGACCAACTCAATAACAATGCACAGGTAAACATACAGGTGTGCGTGACAATTACTAATGTGGTGTGTTTAAGCCTGTGTTATCATATATGACGCAAACTTTTACTTATACAGATTGCTGATCAACGACAAGAAATTTCCTTTTTATAATTATTTATCAACATTTTTATGTGCATATCTCAGCGAAAATCATCTAAAATTGTTCATGGAGATACCTTATATATATATATATATCGATAAGTTTAAACTGCTGCTAATGATGATAATGATGCATTTCATATATCTTGGTATTTTATAATGTGCTATTTGGATCATACATTTACATCTTATGACTTAGAATAATTATATCACAATTTGTCCTACCTTGTCTGGATATCTTTGACGTGTTATGATTTCCACAATTAAGTGATGCCTGTATTCTTGACTTCTATCTGGTTATATCTGCTGTGGTTTTGCTATCATAATATTAACGATAACTTAAACCACTCCCCTACCCTTTCGGACTCCATACCCTCTCAAACTGCATATATATTGCTCATTACTGAACTGTCTCACTTAAGCCAGACATGCCTGTCCCCTCCACCTGTCTGACTGACTGTATACTTCCTCCCCTACCCTGTCCAATTCCTCCTATTTACTTGTCTGACTCTATTCCTCTTTCTCTACTCATATCTAACTATATACCTTCTTCCTTATCCTTATCTATTTACCTGCCCTTCTTCTACTTGACACTTTACCTATAAGCTTAGCAACACTTCTTCCATACTCCTGTCTGACTCTATACATTCCTTTTCTATTTTGTGTCTGCATACATATTCTCCTATACCAGAGCTATCTTTTTCTATACCTAACTACTGTGTCTGAATCAGGATTCTTTCTCCCCTTCCCATATAGATCTAACTGTATTCCTTCTCCTCCTGATCTTACACTATATCTTTTCCCCTCCCTATCTCTGCCTTTACCTTCCCCTTCTCCAATTTGACTCTTTATTCCACCCTTGTCCTATCTGGCTCTATCCTTCCTCCCTTGTCCTATTTGACTCTATACCTCCCCCATCGCCTATCTTACTCTATACCTCCTCCCTTGTCCTGTCTGACTATATACCTTCCACCTTGTCCTATCTGACTCTATACATCTTCCCTTGTCCTATCTGACTCTATACCTCTTCCCTTGCCTTATCTGACACTATACCTCCTCCCTTGTCCTATCTGACTCTATATTTCCTCCCTTGTCCTGTCTGACTCTATAACTCTTCCCTTGTCCTCTCTGACTCTATACCTCTTCCCTTGTCCTATCTGACTCTATACCTCCTCCCTTGTCTTATCTGACTCTATACGTTCTCCCCTGTTCTATCTGACTCTATAGCTCTTCCCTTGTCCTATCTGACTCTTAACCTCTTCCTTTTTCCTATATGACTCTATACCTCGTCGCTTGTCCTATCTTATTCTAAAGCTCCCCCCTTGTCCTATCTGACTCTATACCTCTTCCCTTATCCTATCTTACTCTATACCTCATCCTCTGTCCTTTCTGACTCCTTTCCTCCTCCCTTGTCCTATCTGACACTATACCTCCTCCCTTGTCCTATCTGACTCTATTTCTCTTCCCTTGTCCTATCTGACTCCTTTCCTCCTACCTTGTCCTATCTGACTCTATGCCTGCTCTCTTGTCCTATCTCACACTATACCTCATACCTTGTCATATCTGACTCAATATCTCTTCCCTTCTCCTATCTGACTCTATACCTCCTCCCTTGTCCTATCTGACTCTATACCTCCTCTCTTGTCCTATCTGACACTATACCTCCTACCTTGTCATATCTGACTCAATATCTCTTCCCTTCTCCTATCTGACTCTATACCTCCTCCCTTGTCTTATATGATTCTATACCTCCTCCCTTGTCCTATCTGACTCTATATCTCTTCCCTTGTCCTATCTGACTCTATATCTCTTCCCCTGTCCTATCTGTCTCTATACCTCTTCCCCTGTCCTCTATGGCGATCTTCGATGATGCAGAGAAGGGCCGTTTGTATTACCTTATCTCTTTTTAAATTATTATTTTAAAGACGTCGTACTAAGCAGGTCTCAGCAAGAAGACCGGTTAACAGAAAGGAAGAACAAGGGGATCCCACACTAGATAAATTTCAATAATTTGATAGTATAGTCCGGCAGAATTTCTTAATAAAAAATTCGAATACCTTTTCTAATCCTCACCGCTGGTCGCTGTTATCACACCTGTTGTTTTGTTTGTTTTTTGTTTTTGTTCTTTTTTTTGTCCGAAAACACACCGATGGATCTTTATCGTACGAGTTGTACATTTTCACGCGGGCCATCATTTTAAGTCCCATCCGACCGACTAGGGGTTGTTGGTTAGTTGTTAGTTAAGTGCTGATCTGTTTTTGGGTGTCCATACATGTATAAATCATCTTTTCATTTCCGTCTGCCACTCTATATACTCTTCGCTTTATCGGTGTTCATACTTTTTGTAAATCTACACTGT